GTGGGTGACCTGGGGGCGGGGGGGGGAAGGGGGAGGGGGAGGGGAAAGGGGGAAAGGGTTGGGAGGGTGGGAGAGGGAGGTTGGGGTAGGGGTGGGGTAGGGTAGTCGACGGTCGAACGTCTCTGAGTGGATAAAGAAAAAAATATATTGGTTTTAATTTGCTTTGATTTTTCTTTTTCTTTTTTCTCTGTACTTATTTTCTTCCTATCTCTATTTTCCTCTATTTCCCCCATTTTCTTATCCTTCTCTCCTCCTCCTCCTCCTCCTCCTCTCCTCTTTCCTCCTCCCTCACTCCCCTTCTACGTCCTTCACCTCTCCCCATTATCCCTTCTTCATCCTTTCTCTTCCCTGTTCCCCCCTCTATTTTCCTCCTCTTTATCATCTCCCCATTCTTCCTCCCCCCCTCCTCCTCCTCCTCCCACACTCTCACTCTCCCCTTTTCGCCTAAACTCCTTTCCCTTTCCTACTTTTCCCCTGTTCACCTCCCTCCCTCATCCTACCTCCTCCCCCCACTTTTCCTCTCTTCATTCCCTCCTTCCCCCTCCTCCACTTCCCATTTCTCCCCCTCTCACTCCTCCTTCCCTGTTCCCCCTTCTTACTCCACCTCTCTTCCCCGTCCCCCCCCCCTTCTCACCCCACTTTCTCTCTGCCCCTGCTCCCCCCTCTTCTCACCCCCCCTCCCTCCCCTCCCCTACTTCCCCCCCACCTCCTCCCCCCCCACTTCCCCCACCCCTCCTTCTCACCCCACCTCCTCCCTCCCCCCCCCCGCTTCCCCGCCCCCCTTTTTCTCACCCCACTTCCTCCCCCCCTACCCTCTTTCTCACCCCACTTCCTCCCTCTCACCCCCACTCGCAGGACTGTCCCGGAGAACGAGTGTTACATCCAGTTCATCGAGACGAACGAGTACGTCACCTTCGGCACAGCCATCGCGGCCTTCTACCTGCCCGTGACGGTGATGTGCGGCCTCTACTGGCGTATCTGGAGGGAGACCGAGAAACGCCAGAAGGACCTGACCAATCTGCAGGCGGTGAAGAAGGACCCGAGTAAAAGGTCCAACTCTAGGTGGGTGACCTGGGGGCGGGGGGGGAAGGGGGAGGGGGAGGGGAAAGGGGGAAAGGGTTGGGAGGGTGGGAGAGGGAGGTTGGGGTAGGGGGGGTAGGGTAGTCGACGGTCGAACGTCTCTGAGTGGATAAAGAAAAAAATAATATTGGTTTTAATTTGCTTTGATTTTTCTTTCTTTTCTTTCTTCTTCTTTTTTTATTGTATGTCCTGATGGAGTGTTTTTTTTTCCTTTCTTTCTTTCTTTCTTTATCAAATCTATCGTTTACTTTTAGTTTACTATTTTCTTTCCAGATTGTCGATAAGTATCTTTGTTCGTTTTTTTTATTTATTTATTTCATCATTCCCGTGTATTATTATTATTATTTATTATTTGTTAATAAGTAAGCTACTCCCGTTTAGATTACAGAGGATATCAAAATGGTTTTGAAATGCTTGTAATCCATAAACAAAAGGGAAACGGGAAATATGCGCAGGTCATCGGCATTTCTACGATAGATTTACCACTGCTTGTATTTTGTGTAGCCATGTATTTTTTTTTTTTTTTTTGCGTTTGTTTGTCTCATTCAAAACGTGTAGATTCTGTGTTTTGTTTTTTGTTTTTTTGTTTTTATGATGTTTTTTTTCTAATCTTTTTTTCTGTGGAATGGTATATATTTTGAGAACAATTTCGCTTTTTGACTGCTTTTTGGTGTTGATCACCTTTGCTATAAGAGCTTTTTATACACACATTTTGATGTTCAAATGAGCTTATTCGAAGCAGACATATGAAGCTTCGAGACTACCTGCTTTGATTAGCTTTTTCTTCTCTTTTTTTCAAAGATGTTTTATGGTAATTTCTCTTTTACACATTAAGGATATTTTTTCTTATATTTTTCTTCGATTGCACCATATAGCCTGCAGAAAAAAAATGTATTTTCTATGCAATATATAAATGTCTTTTGATTTTCTATGATATAGGATAACATTTATTGATTATATCCAAAAAATATATACGATTATAAATGTAAATGCAATTGTAAGAAAGAAAGAATAATAATTCGCCAGTAAATTATATAATCTTCAAGAACTGTTCAAGAATATGACAGAAGATGATGATAATAACCATCATTAGAAAAAAAAAAAGAATATACAATTATTAGATCCCCACAATTTCACCCTTATACCTTCTCTCCACAAAGCATACTTTTCCTTGGGCCACATTATCTTTCTTTACGAGCCTAAATGTATTATAACTAAGCATTTCAAAAACAGAAAAAAAAACAGTTAAAAATGTTTAGTTCACAGACAAACGAACTAACAACCATCTTCATAAAATATATGAGTCTCCCTGATGAAGACTTTCCCTGCTTGTAAGTAGATAGATGAAGAAAACAAAAACAGATAAAATGATATTTAAAAAAAATAATAATAATAAAAAAAAACACAAGGTAAGCAATATTCTGTAATAACAAAATTTAAACGATACTTTATATACTTCACATCTTTTTCATCGTATTTTTTTTTTCCTCCATTTAAAACCATTTCTCCCCCCCCCCTGACATTGCTGGATTTTTTTCGAGGTCTCAGCATATGTGTTGACATGCGGGGTTTACCAGCAGCTCATGTCAACTCACGGCCGTCACACCTTCTGAGATTATCCCCTTGAAAGTACGGGAGTGGGAGTGGAGTAGATTTCCCTGCGTTAAGTCACCTCCGCGTTCGTCTGTCTGCTTGTGTATTTGGCTAGATGTTTATCTGTGTCTTTGTTTCTTTATGGGTTCGTTTTGTCTGGTCGTCTCGGTCTCTCTGTCTGTAAGTCTGTTTGTCTCTGTCTTTCTGTCTGTCTGTCTATCTGTCTCTGTTTCTCTCACTTTCTCTCTGTTTCTCTCTCTCTCTCTGTTTCTCTTTCTCTCTCTCTCTCTGTCTCTCTCTGTCTCTCTGTCTCTCTGTCTCTCTCTCTCTCTCTCTCTCTCTCTCTCTCTCTCTCTCTCTCTCTCTCTCTCTCTCTCTCTCTCTCTCTCTCTCTCTCTCTCTCTCTCTCTCTCTCTCCTCTCTCTCTCTCTCTCTCTCTCCTCTCTCTCTCTCTCCCTCCCTCTCTCTCTCTCTCTCTCTCTCTCTCTTCTAACAATCTCTGGTATACTAAAATTGGATAAGGTTTCTGTGTGTGCGAGTATATGTGTGTGTGTGTGTGTGTGTGTGTGTGTGTGTGTGTGTGTGTGTGTGTGTGTGTGTGTGTGTGTGTGTGTGTGTGTGTGTGTGCGTGTGTAGAAACACTTCGCCAGCAATGTCAAATCCAAGGTTCCAAGATCTGAACACACGAGGAATCCCCCCACAGAAGACAAAATAATTGAACGCGTAAATCGAGCTCGGCGATTGAGAGGAAAGACGACTGGGATATCTGGCGGTCTCGGGTAAAAGTATCTCTGTGACTGCGTTTCGTCTCTGATGACTAAGAACTTGAGTAAGTGAAATACACTCGTAATGGCGATAGAATGGAAGAAAATGATAGAGTTTTCCCTTGTACCGGATTTGGATTATTACCTTAATATATTCTACGGTAATAGAGTTATGTTGTATGTAGTATTTGGGTATTTTCGATCACTTTCCAATGCGGGAAAACTGATTGTATGTATTTATTTCAGTCATTCATTGTATCCGTTTAATTCACTTCAAACAGCGTCAAAGAGGAAAGTATCTGAGCGTGTAATGCATAACATTTAGGAATTTCCGAGCAGTTCGTTATGTAGAAAACAATTTGTATCTGTCTATTTCAATTATTATTCGTAGCAATTTAATTCATTTCAGACACCACCAAACAGGAAAGTTCTTTGACAACGCATATAAAGCGAATGCCATAATTAGTAATGTAAGTATGTAGTGCCAAAAAAATATATGTATATACACATCACAATACAGTAAAGTTTCGTTAAGTTTCTAATATATCACATGGTGAGATATAATACACAAAACCTGTACATTATAGATCAAGAAAACAAAAGTCAGGATTACATTAGTTACATAAAAATGACTTGTGCTCCGTTGCTGTCCAAACGTGAACTATACAATTACACTCTTCGTTTACGATGTTGTTTAAAACGCTATTTCGCAAGGGTATTTGTTTTCTTCAAGCCAGTGATTGGCCCGTCCTTCTCCTCTCTTCTTCTCTTCTCCTCTTTGCTTTCTTCCTTCGAGCCGTTATCGATCCTTTTCAACTTGAGTTAACTCTATTTGGAACAGCTGCGCCTTTGTTTGGTAAAGAAACACAGCCGAGCTTTACGTTAATGATCGAATTGGCAAAGTCATTTGGTATTCTGTTCCCAACCGCAATTTTAGCTCCTGTCTTATTTCGTCCGGTCATGGATTCCTGTTCCTTATTCAGGGACAGTGACTTCCAGAAATACGCGGAAATACACTCACCAAACACCCAATTCCCAAACCTACTTGAGACAGGGCAAGGACCTCCGACCCGCTTTCACATCCCTCCCTTGCAGAAATCAGGTGGAAAGTGAGTACAAAAGCATAAGAACGTCTCTTTCTCTACACCATCAGCTCCTCCCGCAGAAATTAAAGTTGCTGATCCCCTTCCACGCTCCCGAAGAGGCGAGGAGCAAGCCCCGGATGTGACGTCGCGCGCTCATTGGTCAGTTTGAAGTCGGTGTTCGTTAAGAGAGAGATTTTGAATATCTCTCCTTCGGGATAACCGAATTGCTTAGTTATTTTCCCTCTATTCACTCTTGGGAGAACTGTCTGGAATTGTCGGTTTATACATGTTACTGCAGATGGTGTTGGTAGTGCGTTAAGATAATTTGATTGCATATAATTAAATCACCATTGGTAAAGGAATTATGCTATGCTACCGTGGCCTCCCTGTGACCTGGCTCCATACACTGTCATCACAGCTGTGGCGCTACTGTTGTCCGTACGACCGCAGCTGTTATGAACATTGATGGTGTAATTCC